CGCTTTGCTTGCGCCTCACTTGTTGAAGGCGCTTTGCTTGCGCCTCACTTGTTGAAGGCGCTTTGCTTGCGCCTCACTTGTTGAAGGCGCTTTGCTTGCGCCTCACTTGTTGAAGGCGCTTTGCTTGCGCCTCACTTGTTGAAGGCGCTTTGCTTGCGCCTCACTTGTTGAAGGCGCTTTGCTTGCGCCTCACTTGTTGAAGGCGCTTTGCTTGCGCCTCACTTGTTGAAGGCGCTTTGCTTGCGCCTCACTTGTTGAAGGCGCTTTGCTTGCGCCTCACTTGTTGAAGGCGCTTGCGCCTCACTTGTTGAAGGCGCTTGCGCCTCACTTGTTGAAGGCGCTTGCGCCTCACTTGTTGAAGGCGCTTGCGCCTCACTTGTTGAAGGCGCTTGCGCCTCACTTGTTGAAGGCGCTTGCGCCTCACTTGTTGAAGGCGCTTGCGCCTCACTTGTTGAAGGCGCTTGCGCCTCACTTGTTGAAGGCGCTTGCGCCTCACTTGTTGAAGGCGCTTGCGCCTCACTTGTTGAAGGCGCTTGCGCCTCACTTGTTGAAGGCGCTTGCGCCTCACTTGTTGAAGGCGCTTGCGCCTCACTTGTTGAAGGCGCTTGCGCCTCACTTGTTGAAGGCGCTTGCGCCTCACTTGTTGAAGGCGCTTGCGCCTCACTTGTTGAAGGCGCTTGCGCCTCACTTGTTGAAGGCGCTTGCGCCTCACTTGTTGAAGGCGCTTTGCTTGCGCCTCACTTGTTGAAGGCGCTTTGCTTGCGCCTCACTTGTTGAAGGCGCTTGCGCCTCACTTGTTGAAGGCGCTTGCGCCTCACTTGTTGAAGGCGCTTGCGCCTCACTTGTTGAAGGCGCTTGCGCCTCACTTGTTGAAGGCGCTTGCGCCTCACTTGTTGAAGGCGCTTGCGCCTCACTTGTTGAAGGCGCTTGCGCCTCACTTGTTGAAGGCGCTTGCGCCTCACTTGTTGAAGGCGCTTGCGCCTCACTTGTTGAAGGCGCTTGCGCCTCACTTGTTGAAGGCGCTTGCGCCTCACTTGTTGAAGGCGCTTGCGCCTCACTTGTTGAAGGCGCTTGCGCCTCACTTGTTGAAGGCGCTTGCGCCTCACTTGTTGAAGGCGCTTGCGCCTCACTTGTTGAAGGCGCTTGCGCCTCACTTGTTGAAGGCGCTTGCGCCTCACTTGTTGAAGGCGCTTGCGCCTCACTTGTTGAAGGCGCTTTGCTTGCGCCTCACTTGTTGAAGGCGCGTCGATGATCTTACCCTTTGTTGTCAGGGTGATGATTCGCCTCTCCTTCAACGCCGGCTTCAACTTGCAATTGATGCCGTGTCGTCTTGGGCCACAGGTCATGGCTTCAAGTTCTCTACTTCTAAGACTTGTGCCATGACTTTTACGCGGAAACGGGTTGTTCTTCGTCCCTCTTTGTCACTTTATGGTCATCCCCTTGAATACAAAGATTCCGCGAAGCTTTTGGGGTTATTCCTTGACACTCGTTTGTCTTGGTCTCCCCATATCTCTTACCTCCGTGTTGAGTGCTCTAAGGCCCTTACCCTCCTTCGGGTCTTGTCCCATACTTCTTGGGGGGCAGATAGGCGCACTCTCCTTGCTTTACATTCCTCTCTCGTCCTGTCTAAGCTCGATTATGGTTGCCCTGCTTACTCGTCTGCTTCTCCTTCTACTCTTCGCCGTCTTGATGCTTTGCACCATACTGGGTTGCGCCTCAGTTCTGGTGCCTTTCGTTCGACTCCCGTCCTTAGCTTGTATGTTGACACTGGCTTCCTGTCTCTCCAGGACCGCCGTGATCGCTACTGTCTTCGCTATCTTGCGCGGTCCTTGCAACATCCTTCCTCTCGCCTCTGTCGTGCTTTAACTTTTACCCCTCCTGCGGTTCCTGTTCCTCTTCACCACCTCCCTCTTTCTGTCCGGTTATCTCGCCTACAGGATTCTCTTTCCGTTCGTATTTCTGATGTTTCTCCTCGTGTTGTTCCTTCTTTGCCCCCGTGGAGGGTCCCTCTTCCGCGGTTTTGTACATCCTTGACTCGTATCACTAAAGCTTTTACCCCTCCTACGGTTCTAAAAGCACTTTTCTTCTCACTCCCGCTCCGTTTCTGTCTTCACCGATGGGTCTAAGTCAGCGGACGGTGTTGGCTACTCTGTTGTTTTTCCTGATCGCACTTATATGTGTCGCTTGCCTCCGGAGACTAGCATCTTTACAGCGGAACTTTATGCTATTCTCTATGCTCTTCGTCTCCTGCTTTCTCGTTGTCAGTCTTCCTTTGTGGTTGTTGTTGACTCTCGTAGTGCCCTCATGGCTCTCGGGTGCTTTAATCCAGTTCATCCAGTAGTTGTCGAGATCCAGCATTGGCTGTTTCTCGTTCACAGTAAATTTAAGTCGGTTGAGTTTTGTTGGGTTCCCAGCCATATTGGCGTGTCTTTAAATGAGCGTGCGGATGCTGCCGCTAAGGAAGCTGTCCGCTCTTGTCCCATCTCTCGTAAAGGCATTCCGTATTCCGACTTTTACCCGGTTATCCATTCCTCAGTCCTTACCCGTTGGCAGGCTTCTTGGTTGTCTGTTACTGGTAACAAGCTACGTACTCTTAAATGTTGTGTTTCCTCGTGGCCGTCCTCCTTCCACCGTAACCGGCGGTGGGAAACAGCTCTGGCGAGGTTGCGTATTGGCCATACTCGCTTAACCCATGGTCACTTGATGGAGCGCCGCCCTGCTCCTTATTGTCCTAGTTGCATTGTCCCTCTTACGGTCGTGCATGTCCTTCTTGAATGTCCTGACTTCCAGGACGAGCGTGTGTCTTGCTTTCCGACCGCCCCTCGCGGTCACCTGTCCCTCGATAGAATTCTTGGTGACTCGGATACTTTTGATATCGTTCGCCTTATGCGTTTTTGTTCTCGTATTGGCATCCTTGGTGATATTTAGCGCCCTCTGATTATTTTGCGTATTTGATGGTGCTACATAGCCTTCCCGGTTTGGTGCCTTCTTTTGATAATTACTTACTTGTTGAAGGCGCTTTGCTTGCCTGTGGCGCCTCACTGGTTGAACAACACACAACTTGTCTTTAATTGCTAGGACAACCTTCTTCCTCTTAACACCTCCAGAACGATTGATGCTGCTACCAGACATAGTCTTGGCCAAAAATGTCAAAGTTACTATGAAAATAAAAAAGTTATTTAAAAAAAATATTTCACTAATGGAGCAGCACTGTATAACACGAGGGACGGACGCACATGGGTTGACCAGTGTTGGACGGGTCCACTTGAGGTGGGGCAGCTATAGCACGTTACATAGGCCGCCAGGAGGAAAAAAAACTCACAATATTTTTGAAGGAAACTTCAGCCTGTGCACATTGCTTTTAGGAAACTTACTTATTTGTTATTACATAATTACTAGTACTTATTTCATTTGTTTTTGGCTATGATCAAGTGTTCTAAAATTAATGGTAATTCCTGTACCCAGGTGGTCCCTCCCGACGCACCCCTCCCACCCTCCCAACACCACCCACCCACCCCACCCCCTCCTCCACCATGCTTCTAGAGCCACAGACGGGATTAATACAGTATGGCCGAATATTCATCCGGCCAAACCAGCTTTTATCCGGTTCCTGTGGCCATTTTGGCCGGATATTGTGATAACTTTATCCGATCACGATTTTGGCCGTATAAGGGCGTTTTCCGGATGTTTGAATCCCGGATAATCGCAGGGTTACAGTAATAAGAACCTTTTTATCTTCAGAAACCAAAAAGATCAGGATAAACAATGAATGTCTTTACAAAGAATTCAAGCACGGTCATTGCTGGGTGGGATACACTGGTAAACCGAGTGCCTCACCCGCGCCCAGCAGCACCATGTGCTAGCTCCACCCATACAGATATCAACAGATGAATCATAATCCAAGGCAAACGTCGTGTACCAATTCAAATTTTACGAGGCATTTGATGCCATGTACCAAAAAAATCGTAATCTAGAGCTTTCATAAACCAATGTACCACTGTACTGACATTACACATGAAAATTCTGTAATTGAAAATGACAGTAATTGGCAACAGAATACCACATGGTGAACAGACGACTTGATGGACCCCATGCTTCTCAACGTAACATGGTAATTTGACACTGCATGATCATTACACAAGAGGTAACGTACATGTATTTATATGCATAGTTTTAAGTGTTCATTTATTGAGTGATGTGCTTGTTTATTCGTGAGTAGTTGATTCTGACATGGAACACGGGGGGAAAACAATGCTTCCTGATATCTAATGAAGTTTGACCTTGTTACCATATTTCGTCTTTGAGTTAATGTGGAAAATGCTAGTTCATACAAATAAGTACAGTAGTGGTAAAAGGTAATAGTAACAAGATACCCATTTTACTTGAAAGTGAAAATTCTCCCTGATCTTTAATACAAAAGGATGACAAATAAAATTGTTAAATCGTTGTTAAATCAATGATATTATCTATAAATAATTGAGTTTCTTATTATCAAATGTATAATGCATTTGCAATACTTACTGATAAATTTTGATTGCTAAAACCTGCCTAATTATGGGAAAAATTTATGATAAACTAGCGATGATTTGCGAGCACCATTATCTTAGTGACTCGTAACATCTCTCTTATCAAGAATTTGAGAGATTGATTAGGAATTCCTGTTGTCTATCTAAGGGGACCTTCGTGTAATTTTATGTGTTTGAACCATTATTAATCTCATTACCACGTTAATATGAAGAAAGATTAGATATGGATTTGATTTAATTATAATCTATCTGAAATGCTTGCATATTCTCCAGATGCCCTTTCTTAAAGCTACCTTGAGGTTACCTTGAGGTGCTTCCGGGGCTTAGCGTCCCCGCGGCCCGGTCGTCGACCAGGCCTCTATGCTATGACATTAAGCTATGATGATTTCTATGATTTTTTTTTATACTCTATTGATGGTTTATTATTAACTACAAGAAATGTCTTGTGTTGCACTAACATTAAATTTCTTGTAGGTAAATGACCTGAAGAGAGAGATCTCATTCTTGAAGGAGGAGAACCTGAAGGTGTGCCAATCATTTGATAAACAACTGGAGGACAAAACCCATTTGTTGACTCAGTTGGAAGATATGGAGAGGAAGTACGAAGGTTATGAGGATCAGCTAAACAACTTGCAGGTTGGTGCTGCATTTAACAGTTGTTGTAGATGATAATATGGTACTGTGTTGTTGATGGGTTTAACAGTTGTTGTGGATGATAATATGGTACTGTGTTGTTGATGGGTTTAACAGTTGTTGTGGATGATAATATGGTACCATATTGTTGTTGATGGGTTTAACAGTTGTTGTGGTTGATAATATGGTACCATATTGTTGGTGATGGGTTTAACAGTTGTTGTGGATGATAATATGGTACTGTGTTGTTGATGGGTTTAACAGTTGTTGTGGATGATAATATGGTACCATATTGTTGGTGATGGGTTTAACAGTAGTTGTGGATGATAATATGGTACTGTGTTGTTGATGGGTTTAACAGTTGTTGTGGATGATAATATGGTACTGTGTTGTTGATGGGTTTAACAGTTGTTGTGGATGATAATATGGTACCATATTGTTGGTGATGGGTTTAACAGTAGTTGTGGATGATAATATGGTACCATATTGTTGGTGATGGGTTTAACAGTAGTTGTGGATGATAATATGGTACCATATTGTTGGTGATGGGTTTAACAGTTGTTGTGGATGATAATATGGTACCATATTGTTGGTGATGGGTTTAACAGTAGTTGTGGATGATAATATGGTACCATATTGTTGGTGATGGGTTTAACAGTAGTTGTGGATGATAATATGGTACCATATTGTTGGTGATGGGTTTAACAGTTGTTGTGGATGATAATATGGTACCATATTGTTGTTGATGGGTTTAACAGTTGTTGTGGATGATAATATGGTACCATATTGTTGGTGATGGGTTTAAAAGTTGTGGTGTTGTGGATGATAATATGGTACAGTGTTCTTGGTGATGGGGTAAAGTTGCTGTGGATGGTATGGTACAGTGTTCTTGGTGATGGGTTTAACAGTTGTGTTGTTGTGGATGATAATATGGTACTGTGTTGTTGGCAATTCATTTAACACATTTTTGTTGTTGTGGATAATGTTATGGTACTGTTGTGTATTTTATTACATGCTGATCTTGAGTACTCTACATTCTCCCATAAATTGTATTGGGAAATGAATTCGCTGTCAAATTCTTAATACCTGTACAATCATTCAAGGCAGTTATATTCTTCTTTTCATTCAGTTGGTTAATTTTAACTGCTGGGAATACAGCCCATCCTGCTATTTAGAAAGTGCAGTACCTTAAGTAACAATGTGGACCATTGTACATATATTGATGTAAGGGACAAAAAGAAAGTAGAATTTGATATTATTGAAATTAGACAAACTGGAAAAAGTTTTGTATTTGCTGCTGATAAAACCTAACTTAACCATCCTAGGTCTAATACATGCTGTCAGAAGCCTGTTACGTAAACAGGCCTCGGGACAGGTACTGCGGTCATACCGAGCAAATGTTATGCTTCACGAGCATTAGTAATATAAACAAAAAAGCCGCATTCGCCTTTGCATTGTGAAAAGTGGGCAAGTGTTAAAGTAAACGCTTGCAAAAACTTTAACAAATTTATAAAAAAAAAATTACAACACTTAGAGCTTGGCTATTACACAATACAGTAATAAGAATAATTAAATGAACACATGAAAGTTACGTTAACCAGTTTTACAATAAGAACAACTTGGGCTTATGAATGTGCACACTTGAAACAGCACAGCATGAGCACGAAATGGCTGGGAGGCAGAATGTGAACAGCTTGCAATGTTGACCCTGAGATCGACTGAATAGTCAGTGCCGGTCAGGAGTATTTGTACCCCTGGTGGTGACGTCACATCTTGTCAACGTTGCTTGGAACGAGGGACTGGCAGAGTACCTGTAACTACCACCAGAGATGTGGGGTGATGCAGGTGGTGAGGGAGGCATATCTGAGGTTATCTTGAGGTCAGTGCCGGTCAGGAGTATTTGTACCCCTGGTGGTGACGTCACATCTTGTCAACATTGCTTGGAACGAGGGACTGGCAGAGTACCTGTAACTACCACCAGAGATGTGGGGTGATGCAGGTGGTGAGGGAGGCATATCTTGAGGTTATCTTGAGATGATTTCGGGGCTTTTTAGTGTCCCCGCGGCCCGGTCCTCGACCAGGCCTCCACCCCCAGGAAGCAGCCCGTGACAGCTGACTAACTCCCGAGTACCTATTTACTGCTAGGTAACAGGGTCATTCAGGGTGAAAGAAACTTTGCCCATTTGTTTCTGCCTCGTGCGGGAATCGAACCCGAGCCACAGAATTACGAGTCCATGGGGTGGATGGAGTGTTGTTAAGACAGGGTGTCTGGCCCTGGCTGGAACTCCAGAACATACGTATTTGTAGATTTATAGTTTTTATTGCTGTGAAGTATTCGTGACTAGGCTGTCAACAACAAAGGTGAGAGGGAAGAGGCAGTTTGCCATCCTATGAAAGGGAATTGTGTGGCAGGCCTAATATAGACTTGTATGGTCTATACTAGGCTTAGGAATAGTAATGTTTGTTTTTTGGCTCTATTTTTTCTGGACTAAAAGTGAATAGTACCAAATTCTATTACCTAATTGTCCAATATGTCAATATATGTATGGGTCCACATAGTTAAAAAAAAAGTCTAAACAGGGGAGGATGGGTCATGGAATATGGGCAACAGACAATCTTATGCTCCAATAAGTTGTTATAGCAGCTTCTAAATTTGTAATATGGTAAGGTATCTAAATTCCAAACAAGTCTGAAGTCCTAGAGGTTTTTAGTATATGTAATTTCTATACCAAGTCTGAAGTACAGTGGGGTTAGGGTGACATCTGAGATACAAGCCGAGGTTGGTGTCACGTGAAGAATTCCTTCAAGATTTCGGTCTTCAGTTTTGTTGGGGGTTTGCTGAAAATATCCTGTATTCTTAGTACTTTATTATTACCTTGTCATCAGTGAATGTTCCATATTTATTCAAGGACCCAAATACATGATTGTGTGTTTACTCTGGACTTTGCATAAATAAAGTATATTCTGGATAAAATATTTAGGGTTCTTCTCAATATCACTGAAGGCATTATGCTCAATCGATTTTGCTAAAATTTGCAGTTTGAGCAAAGTATTTTCCTATGTAGTTTTCCTTGTTCTTGAGAGAGCATGGGGCATTCTATTATTTTTTTTCTTTGGCTCAAGCGCTGTTCTTCAAATTTGCATTATTTTCTCTTGATGGTATGTAACTTCAGTCTAGTAAAAATGTTCCTACATGTTGAGGTTACAACTTTGGTTTACATTATTCAACTGCTTTTTTCATCCTCTTTCTGTACTATCACGGTTTTAGTTTCACGTTGGTAAGTTTAATATGAATTTAACCAATTCTCATCCTTGATTTGAAACGGACTGTGAATATCTGTTGTACTCACCTAAATTGTGCTTGCGGGGGTTGAGCTCTGGCTCTTTAGTCCCGCCTCTCAACCGTCAATCAACAGGTAATTACCTAAGTGTAGTTACAGGATGAGAGCTACGCCAGGTTCCTGAGTCTATTGGGCTCTATCATATCTTCACTTGAAACTGTGTATGGAGTCAGCCTCCACCACATCACTTCCTAATGCATTCCATTTGTCAACCACTCTGACACTAAAAAAGTTCTTTCTAATAGCTCTGTGGTTTATTGGGCACTCAGTTTCCACCTGTGTCCCCTACTGTGTGTGCCCCTTGTGTTAAATAGCCTGTCTTTATCTACCCTATTGATTGTCTTGAGAATCTTGAATGTGATGATCATGTCCCCACCCTAACTCTTCTGTCTTCCAACAAAGTGAGGTTTAATTCCCATTGTCTCTCCTCATAGCTCATACCTCTCAGTTCGGGTATTAGTCTGGTGGCAAACCTTTGAACCTTTTCCAGTTTAGTCTTATGCTTGACTAGATATGGACTCCATGCTGGAGCCGCATACTCCAGGATTGGTCTGACATATGTGGTATATAATGTTCTGAAAGATTCCTTACACAAGTTTCTAAAGGCCATTCTTATGTTTACCAACCTGGCATATGCTGCTGGTGTTATCCTCTTGATATGTACTTCAGGGGACAGGTCTGGCATGATATCAACCCCAGGTCTTTCTCTCTTTCAGACTCTTGAAGAATTTCATCTCCCAAATGATACCTTGTATCTGGTCTCCTGCTCCCTACCCCTATCTTCATTACATTACATTTGCTTGGGCTAAACTGTATCAACCATTTGTTCGACTATTCCTGCAGCTTGTCCAGGTCTTCTTGAAGCCTCAAGCAGTCCTCCTGTGTCTTAATCCTTCTCATAATTTTAGCGTCGTCAGCAAACATTGAGAGGAAGGAGTCTATACCCACTGGGAGGTCATTTACGTATATCAGAAACAGGATATGTCCGAGTACAGAGCCCTGTGGGACACCACTGGTGACTTCACGCCAATCTGAGGTCTCGCCCCTCACTGTAATTCTCTGCTTCCTATTGCTTAGGTACTCCCTTAATCACTGGAGTGCCCTACCAGTTACTCCTGCCTGTTTCTCCAGCTTATGCATCAGCCTTTTATGGGGTACTGTGTCAAAGGCTTTCCAACAGTCCAAAAAAAAAAGTCTGCTCATCCTTCTCTTTCTTGCTTAATCTTTGTCACCTGATCATAGAATTCTATTAACACTTTCGCGCGCCCTGGGAAGGTAAAAAAAAAAGCGGTATGTGCGCGCGGCGTTTTTGCCGCGTAAGCGTAAAAACAAAAATGTGTATACTCTTTTTACTCTCCTGAACTTAGTTCTCGAGCTACGTATTTCATTTTGGTACCAACGTGTTCGCAATAAAATTCTCTAGGAGAACATCAGTAAAAAAAAGTCACGAAACGTATAGGGATACCAGCACCAAATAAATAACTACAAAGATGACTCGCCGTGAGCGCCCAACAGCAACAAAATGTTTTTACTCTTGGGATTGTTATCACCTCCACACTTGTCCTACAGCGTTAAATTTGGTATCAATGGACTCGCAATGAAATTCCCAACACGGTGATATGAATATAAGCGTAGAATAATGATGCGGCCCGCCCGCAAGAG